TAGGGGAAGAAGTTTGCTAAACCTGAACTCGAATCATGCATTGAGGAGTTTGAAGAAAGGTTGAATAAATTTGACATTGAGAGGAAGGAACAAGAACTTACTGCCAAAAATGCTCAAAGCCATCAACAGAAAGTGGAGAGCTTGGAGAGAGTATCGCAGTGACTGAAAAAGAAGAAGAGGAAATCGGTGAATCTGAAATTACTAAAGGTAGTTTTCTCCAAATCTATTGCCTATTTATGTAGTTATTGCTATTTCATGTTTCGTTTACAAAGTTCTCATTTTCAAAATATTTTTGGTGGAGGGAACCTAGAGCTTCATGTTTGTCTCTTTAATTTATACAAGTCATTTGTGCTTTTATTCATCCAAATAATTTAAAAACAATGTAGAGGAGGTAGTAGCTATTAACAAGTTATTACGTGGTAGTAACTTGTATAAATAGTTGATCCTTCACTACAACTTTTTCTTTCAAAAATCCATATAAAATTTAAATGATGGGTTTTTTCAGAATTGTACATTTATGAGTAGATATAAAAACAGCTCTAAAGTTATTTTGCTGAGAGAGCTGGAGATATATAAAGAGGCTAGTGGTGAAACTGATTGATAAAACTTTTAAAGTCAATGTGCAAACTATATAGACAAAATGAGTGAAGCCAACATGAAACAGTATTGTTGCATCTGCTCTGTTTCATATGATCTATAATGGAAAGGAGTGGGCTTAGTTCCTGATTTGGTTATCTTGAATTTTCTGTAACTTCATTTTCTTTGTCATGTAACAGATTCTGAAGTCACTGATTCAATAATGGAAGTGCAAACAGAATGTTCACCTTTGGAACCACCATGTGCTGAGTCGGAAGCAAATTCTCATGCTTCCAGTGAGGTGACTGATTCAGTAATTGATGACAATGAACTTCAATCCTATATAAATCGCACCAGAGGTTCCTTACAACATCCTACATCCTATATCCTATACAAACACTAACAATTGTACATTTGCAGGTTCCACTAGATCCTGAGCTAACAACAGCAGTAAAAGTGATCAAAATCTTGATACTTCAAATTCCACTACATCCAGAGCTAAGAACAGCAGCAAAAGTGATCAAAATCTTGATTCTTCCAATTCCACTAGAAGAATAACCAGGTTCTGGCGAAGGTCCTAGACCAGCCTCTTAGAATTTAAACGTTTCCTTGCATTTTCAATTACATCGGGAAGGTACTTGATTCACATTCCTTGCCATTTTCCCATCTGGTTTCTCTTTTTTTTTGTTTTCTTTTCGAATTTTCCATCTGGGTTGTCATTCTTTTTTGATTTTTCCAACTCATTTCTCTAAATTTGCTGTTTTTTGTTTGCAATTAAACATGTGTATCCTTTGACTTATCTGACAAAGAGCTATTCTGCGTGGAGGAGCAGGATGTGTTCGATCCTGTGTATTCGTTAATGAAGGAGTTTCCTTGCCTTACTCCTGGCTGTAAGCTCAATCTTGTGGATTCACTTAGGTCCAATCTCAGTGTGCTGCTCCCTACTGTGGATTCTCTCTGGAGGGTGTCTCAACAGAAGGATGGAAATGCTGATGAAGAGAAGAATGACAGTGAAGAGGATGAGTGTTCGCTTGCTGATCGAGTTGCATCATATCGAAATGCTTTCCAAATATACACTTTCTTCCTCATTCACATTGTGCTCATTGAGGAGTCTAAATCTAGTTCTAACAACATTACAAAAGTAAGTTCCTTTCTTTATCTGATAGTGTGTGTGTGTGACTGAGAGAGAGAGAGATGCCTGTAGTATATTCCCAAGTAGTGCAATTTTATGAATTGCTTATACTGAATTTACTGTTTTTTGTCAATGCAACTGCATGTTTGAATGTGTCTTCTTGCTGGTAATGGAATATCATAATCCTGCATGTATAGTTGATACTAAAAATGATCAAAGGTTGTTACTCCCTTAGTTTCAATTTGTTTATCTTTGTTTGACTTGACACAAAGTTTAAGAAAGTAAAGAGTACTTTTGAATTTTGTAGTCTTTAAACTAAAACTGTATACTGTACCGAAATGTTCTTTGATTTTCTGGTCACAAACATGATGCCATGCGGGATAATGAAATTAAGGAGTTTTCAAATTAGAAAAGAGGCATTCTGTTTTAAAAAGCCTAAAAAGGAAGGTAAGAAAAACAAATTGAAACAAAATCCCCCATCTTTCCTGGGTTGTCTAATGCACTACCATCAGACTTGATTTTAACCACATTTGTAGGTGGCTTAAACCAACTTACCTTTGTAATTTTGATATCATGGAAGAAATTTCCTCCAAACTGTATCAACTCAGGCCACTTGGATGACCATTTTATGTAAGGAAAGTTGATGAGTTCCTTGTTGGTGTCTTTAAGCACCAAGTATATCACTCTAGTTTATATTAGATTTGTTTCCTCCATATTTGCATGCATATCTATTTTTCCACAGATTCCAACAAGTAAAGATAGTGATTAATGCAAACACCAAGGCCATAAGAGGTTCATACATGTAGGGTGTGTTTGGTATGAAGGAAAACATTTTCCGGAAAATGTTTTCC